GAAAAGGAGCCCTTGCATACCCTAGTCATGGGAATGTAAACTGAGAGCCACCGTGGAGAGCCACTTGGCACGACTGAACCCAAATTTCATGTCCTATAACTTCACAATCCCCAATGCCACTTCTAGGAACCTAGCACAATTACAGAAAGAAATTAAGTAAAACAATGTTTACCTGGAAAAAACTTGGACACAATGCATGTTTATCTATAAAGGAGTGATTAAATAAATAAATGTCTAATGCAATAACATACAAGCATTTAAGACACACAGAACTTAGATGAAGAACCTAGACACAGAACTTAGAAGACAGAACCTACACAGAACCTAGAGACAGAAGAAAAATAAAAAAATAAAAAACATCAGAGGTGCGCTGGCCGGTTTGGTTCAGCGGACCGAAGGGTCCTGGGTTCGATTCCCCAGGCTTGATCCCAATCAATGTGTCTCTCTCACATAGATGTTTCTCTTCTCTTCTTTTCTCTCTTCTCTTCTCTTTTCTTCTCTCTTCTCTTCATATCTCTCTCTCTCCCTCTCTCCGTCTCTCTCTCCTCCTCCCCACCACTCTCTTTCTAAAAAAAAAAATCAATGGAAAAAATACCTTTGGGTGAGGATTAAAAAAAAAAACCAAAAAAATATTGAATGTAATTTTTAAAATGTTTAAAAAAGAAGAAAAAAAATCAAAGATATACTGTAAAATATTTAGGTTTTAAAAAGTGCATGTTATAAATTACCCATTTTTGTTTTAAAAAATGAAAGACAATAAAGAACCCTACACATACCACCAACTTTACATTTATTTATAGGAGATATATATATATACACACACGTACACATATATGTGAATTTATTACTAAAGGGTTGGGGCAAAAGTAGGTTTACAGTTATAATACAAATAATAATACAATAATAATAAGTGATAATACAAAATAAACTGTGTTTCATGTAATCACAACTGTAAACCTACCTTTGTCCACCCTGTATATCTATAAATTGGCAGCATAAGCACAAAAACCACCAAAAATACACACCAAGCCACAGACTTTCACCTTTTACTCTAAGCCTTGTTGTATTTCTACATAGTTTAACACTGTTATGAACATGTGTTATTTTTGTGTAGTTAAAAACTGATGTAAGCCCGGCTGGTGTGGCTCTGTGGTTGAGCATCGACCTATGAACCAGGAAGACATGGTTCAATTCCCGGTCAGGAAATTGAATATATATATATTTAAAGAAATAAGAAAAAAATACACAGGATGATGAACTTCTCACACTATTCAACTCTCACACTATTCTAGAATTAAAGACAACAATGCTCCAACAACCCAGTGTAAAAAGCCAAATATTAACTTTCTCACCCAAAGAAGCCACTAAAGGGAAAATACTAATTTCTGACCAATAAATGAAGCTATGGAGTTCTATTTTTTTTTGTTTTATTTTTTTAAATATACTTTTATTGATTTCAGAGAGGAAGGGAGGAGAGAAAGAAACATCAATGATGACAGAGAATCATTAATCAGCTGCCTCCAGCATGCCCCACACTGGGGATGGAGCCCACAACCTGGCATGTGCCCTAACCGGGAATCCAACCGTGACTTCTTGGTTCTTAGGTCGATGCTCAACCACTGAGCCACGATGGCCGAGCAATAAATGAAGCTGTGGAGTTTTTTGTTGTTGTTTCTATGTTAGGTTGGTTTTTAATACAAATGGAGTGAAACTGCCAAGTTTAGGTGAGGAACATAATTTAGGAAAGGGTGAGCAAAAAAGGCATATAGAATTATGAAAAACATGAATACTTTTGCCATGAACAGATGCCTCTGATCTGCAAGAATGTTTGATGATATAGTGTTAGGACATGAGATCTGTCTTGCTTGATACTTAAAAATAAAAACAGACATGTTTTTATAACTTGACTCTAGGTCCCACCCTTCCCAGCCACAAATATTCTTGCATCGTCTTCCGCTCACTTTTACCTCTTCCAAAACAAGTTTAAATTAAATTCTTTAAAACACCTAAGATCATGAATCAAAACTTAGCTGTGGCCCTCTGAGGGAGATGATGGCACTAGGAACAGACGATATATACACAGCTCATCTGCTTTCCCACAGAAGAAAGTATGGAAAGAAGAAAACCAAAAGTAAATAAATCAAGGCCATGGGAATGTAGTTGAGTGAGTAAGAGCATCCCAGGCAGGACTGGCGATCTACAAGTCTGGGAGAATGACCTACTTTAATTCCCACACTGGGAAAGCCCAGAATTGTATCAACAAGCTGTAGAATTCAATAGGATGAGATATGTTTCCCCTCTCCTTATTTCCCAGATTGCAATGTTCTCTATTTATTTGTATTTCTTTGTTTGTGGTTTCCACATTGCAAGCAGTTTTTTGGCCAGACTTTGCTCCACCTAGTGGAAATATAAAGGATGGTCCAAAAGGGAGGTGCCCACAGCCAGACAGCAGCCTGCCAGTTGTATGCCATTGAGTAGACAGGTCAGCAGAACCCACTGTCACTGCTCCCTGTCACTCAGTGGCTGCGCTGTCTCTGAACTTATAGTTGGAATGGTGGTCCTGGCAATGCCCACAACTGGGATTGTAGGGTAAGAAATAAACCCACCTGGGTCCTGATGGTCCCTCAGGCATTATTCCTAACAATTTATGACAGGAAAGAGGCCCTCTAGGGCATATGGACGGCCAGGAATTCCAAAGGCAGTTGGAATTTTGTACCCAAAGCCATGCAAAGTAGCCACAGTATTCTTAAGAGTTGCTGGCTAGTGCCCAACATCCACAATGAGCTGTATCCTGAGGCTTGAAGGAGAAGGCTCTCCTCTAGACACAGCCTTCCTGGTGACCCTGAAAACACCTAATAGTTTCTGCAGGCTGAGCATGTATGAGAACAAGCAAACGTCCGTGAGGCTGAGCTTAAGAGTAGAGCCAAGACTTGGAAGGGGGAGAGGAAAAAGTTCTAAGAACATGACTCAGTTCCGAGTAGGGCCATGGAGGACACTGAGAAAAGAAAGTAACTGGCCATCAGCTTCACTGGGGCGAAAACAAACATGTTCTTTAAATAAAACCACAAAGGCAGCCCAAAGCAAGGGAAAAGAAAGTTCAAGACTGGGTGACTAAGGGAGGGCTCACCTGCTTACTAAACCACAGACGAAAAAAATATGCTTTTTTCAAAATGTTTGGTGTTGGCTGACAAAGTATGGCTGACTGGTAACATATGTCAACAAATCTGAGAGTAATCAAGATTCAGGATTTAAAGCTTTAGATTATCTCACCTAAAATGTGTTGACAGAGGATTTCATACACTTCATAATGCTATGCTCTCTCTTCATAGGAAAGCTGACCTCAAACCCTGTGATAATTAAGTAGGACCTGGTAAGAAACCAGAGGTTCTCAACCTTGGCAGTACTCAAACAAAGACAATCCTTTGTTGAGAAGGACCATCCTGAGCATTGTAGGATGTCTCGCAGCATCACTGGCCTTCACTCACTAGATGCCAGTAGCACTCACAAACTGTAACAAACCAAAAATGTTTCCAGACACTGACTACTGTCCTCTGGAAGTAGCAAAACTGTCTCCAACTGAGAACCACTGCTCTGAACACATAGACTCACCATGAAAAGTGACCTACATAGCTAAAAGATAACAGGGACAAACTTAAACTCAGTGATGGAATAGGATCAAGGAAGTCACTTTCAAATCTGTTTCCGAACTTAGTTTGGGAGTTGATAATTACGTACCAACCACAAAGACACTCTGAGGACCACCAATATTAACAGCAGTAGTAATTATTATATTTAATAACCATTAAACATATTCCAAGAGCCTTACATATATTGTCTTTTCACCTCAGGACAAACCCATTAGGTTTTATTTACTTATTACTCCTGTTTTATAGATGGGGACACTAAGGCACAAAGAGGTTAGGTAATTTGCTCAAGGATAGTTAAGTAGAACAGTCAGGTTTGGAACTCAGGTGGGCTGCCCCCAGAGCTCATGACCTCACCACTGTGTTAGACTATAGCCCACGCCCCCATTGGAAAGCTGTTAGATTTGCATCTTCTAATATGTAGTCAGTAGCCTCATGTAGCTATTTCATTTAAATTAATTATAATAAACATCATACCACTTTGGAAAACAGTCTGGCAATTTCTCAAAAGATTACATATAGAGTTACCATATGACCCAGCAATTCCACTGATAGGTACATACCCAGGAGAAATGAAAACATATGTCTACACAAAAACTTGTACACGCATGTTCACAGAAGCATTATTCATAATAACCCAGAAGTGAAAATAGCCTAAATGACCGTCAATTTAGGAATGGATAAATAAAATATTGTACATTCATACGACTGAATATTAATCGTCCACCAGAAGGAATAATATACTGATATATGTGATGATAAACTGATCTGTCAACATTGATAAATCTTAAAAACATTATGCTAAGTGAAAGCCAGTCACAAAGGACCACTTAAGTGCATGATTGCGTTTATATGGACTGTCCAGAATAGGCAAATCCATAGAGACAGAAGTAGATTAGTGGTTGTCAGGGGCTGGGAGAGGAGGGTGTGAAAAGGGGAGAGACTGCTAATGGCTATGAGGTTTCTTTAGGGGATGATTGAAAATGTCCTAAAATTAGATAGTGGTAATGGTCACACAACTGTAACTTACTAAAAAGGCATTTTATGTACACTTTAAAAGGGTGAATCTTTTGACATGTTAATTATATCTCAAGAAAGTTGATATAAAAAACTAAATGTCATTAAAAATTCAGTTCCTCAGTTATCCTAGCCACATTTCAAATACTCAAGAGCCACTCGTGGATAAGTGGCTACCAAAATGAACAGTGCAAATAGATAATTCCCTCCAACATCACAGAACATCTACTGGATAAGCACTGCATCAATGAACGGATAAAAGGCCTCCTTTACCATCTAACCACAGTCCACCTTTCAAGTTTCACCACTTGCACACTCCTCTTCTCACACCCACATAGGAAGATTCTGTCACAGACTATGTGCCTCCTCCAAACGCATGCTCCATTTTCTCTCTGGAATGGGCTTCTCCCCTTCCTGCTCTACAGACATTCTACTTATCCTTTATCCTTCAGAGCACGTCCAAATGCCTCTTCCCTAATCCCCACCTTCCCCTGGCCCTAGCAGAATCAGTTACTCCCACTGGCCTTTGTTTGCACTTCCATTACAACATTGATCCCTCTGGATTACAAATCATTGTGTGTGCTGTCTTTCCCACAAGATGACCAGCTCCTTGAGGACAGGGAGTCTGTTACTCATTTGAGGGTTCCCAAAGCCCAGTGATAATAGCCTGCTACAGAGTAGACATTTCAGTGTATGTTGCTGAATTCTACTGAAAGGATTTACAGAAACTCAAGGTAGTGATTTTCGACAACTGTTCACTTTGGTGTGCACAACAGACGAAGAAAATGAAGGAAAGAGGATTCGAATCCAGAAGTCTCCTATCCCATTATTCTACAAGGAGTGTTGGTGATTGCACTGAAATGCCATTTTTAAAGAAAGAAGGGCTTCTGGACTGAAAACTGGGGCAATGTAGGTGAGTAAAGGAGGGAATTAGGGGCCAATGGGTATACTATTGAGAGCGGGGGGTGCGGGGACTGCAGAGTCGAGGGCCCCCATCCAATTCAAAGTTGTAAGCGTGGCAGAGGAAAAGTAATGCATCTCTAGAGATTTGTGCCCAGAAGGCCACTGGTTGAGTCACTTCATGGAAAAAGACTTTTTTACTAAATCTTTATTTTAGATAAGATAGCCAGATTTTTCTGGTTAAGCCTAATCAAAAAGAGAAAAAAGAAATCTATGTATCTCAATCATAATTTAACTGGAAGAGACAAATGCCAAGGCCTTACTATTTGGAGACCTTACTGTTTTGTTTGTTTTTTTCCTATGGATTCAAGGACTCATAACTGAGTTGCAGTAACGTATAGGAGAGTTAAGTCTAAGTTTCTAACCACAGAAGTGAACTAAGCTGATAAACTTTCCTGGTCCAGGATAGCCAAGAAATGGCTATTCCAGGGCAGAGCTATTAAGAGGGAAAGCAAGCCACCTAAATATCATGTTTTTCTTATATTAAATGCATATAAAAAAAAGTTGTACTTAATAGACCCATTTCAAGGGGGGGGGAAATGCAATAAGGTACTCACACCATTTCAACAAGGAGTAAATGTGAAGAGTCCTCCTCAATTCAGAGTTAGCTGGAAGTCACTTGTTGAAATAAGGACAGTGCGTACCTGAAGTAGGTCCTGGGCCAAAATGGTCTCTGAATCTTTTACTTTACTGATTTCTACAAGCCAAAAATCAACAAAGACCAAATTGGCTAAATTGTGGTAGATTCAGAGTTAATAATTATATAACAGCTTCCGTTCCAGAAGTTAAAATTCAAAACACAAATCTCACTACAGATATACTAGTACAGTATCTCTGACAAAGAGACAAGGCATTAAGTAGGGGTGGAGGTGTATGGGGGAAGGGGTCAGGAAGAGGGAGACCACTCATTACAGAAACCTTCCCTTCTCTGCAGGGACTGTAACCACATAATAGCTGCTGGTCAGTGCATCCATCCAAATGGAACAAAGTACAAAAGCCACCCTGTCCCCAAAGTAAGCTTTAGAAGTGCCAGAGAAATGATAAGAAAATGGCCTGTGCTCAACAAACTCCAATTAGGACATGACACTGAAGATCCTCTCCTACATGTTCTCCCAGGCTTGCATGACATGGTAAGGAACTTCCACTTGCCATCCTTCCTCCTGCTAAAGAAATGGATGTTTCCCACCACTGACTATGAGGTCTACCCCTCCTCTCCAAAAGGGTGAGGCAGTCCACAGACCCTGGGCACCCACCTCCGAAGACTTAATATTCCTAAATCAACCCTTTAGCAATGTTATTTACTTATTACTAACTGGGAAACAGCCTTTGGAGAGACAGAAATAGACAGGTGCAAAGGAAAAACAACGGTTTGTTCTATGTTTTTTTCTGTCAGCATTTATATGCTGACCCAATTTTACCAGTAACTTTTCTAAATGGACAAAGAAAATTTATTTCTCCTGCTAGTTTGATTTTAACTGGGAAAATAAAACCCCAACAAAGCCTAACACGAAAGAGTTCAGACCTAGGAAAGGGAATATACTGGCCCAGAAAATGAGCTCTATTAAGTTCACGTGTTATTTCTAATATACATAAAAATACTCTGAAGAAAAAAAACAGGACACTTGAACCGAAAAATGAATAAGCAAATTGTGGTATAGCCACCCAGTGGAGTATTACGCAGCCATAAAGAATAACTAAGTACTGGTTCATGCTACAACATAGTTGAATCTGGAAAACAGAATGCTAAGGGAAAGAACCCAGACACAAAAGGCCACACTCTAGAATTGCATTTATATGCAATATTCCGAATAGGTAAACACGTAGAGACAGAAAGCATATTGGTGGTTGCCAGGGATGGGGAAAGTGGGGAACAGGGGGGGACTGCTTAACGGGAGGGGGGTTCTCTTTTGGGATGTTTTGAAACTAGACAGAGGTGGCGATTGCACAATATTGTTACTATACTAAATGCCACTGAATTTTCACTTCAAAATGGTTACATGGTTTTAAATAGCTTATGTGAATTTCACCTCATTTAATCTTTAAAATAAAGAATACTAATGGACAAAACAAAGATGCATACAGTATGTACATCGACAAGCCCATGATCAACTACGGGAAAGATAAGTATGTTTGCTGGGACTCTGCTTCTACTCTTGATCACAACGCAAGGTCCAAGTGCTGGGGGCTGTACAGATTCTGCCATCATGCGTGTGTCTTTCTAAAAAGACAGGGAAGGGAACAGAAAGTGAAGAAAATAGAATGGGAAGGCCTTGCCAAACGCAAGCAAAGGAGGGGTGATTACCCCTAGTGCACCCCACCCAACTTGGCACCAGGAGTAATGCTCCCATTAAGGTTTCGAAACGCCAGCCAGAGCTGGAAGCAACACAAGCCAGCTTCTCTGCCTGGATAAAAAGCCAGCCACCCAGCAAGAAGAGCTCCGTTTGGGGTGCTCCAGGAGGCTAGCCCCGGCCGGCCCGCCCAACAGTCAAAGCTTATTGGAACCCCCCTCCTCAGGGGTCCCGGTCCACTTCATCCCACCTCCCTCCCAAGGGTCCTGCCTCCAACCACGATTAAAAATGGTGCCCTCAGAACTTGCCCCTGTTCCAGCCGGAACTAAATACCCTCAGCCCCTCCCCGCTCTGGCTGGCGCGGGAGCCCACGGACCCGACCCGCGCGGACGTGCACGCGGCGCCGCTGCTCGGAGACTTGCTCCACGGGGAACGCGGATGCCCCCCACCTGCCCCCGCCTGGCACCACTATCCGGTCACAGGCGTCCCGGGCCACCTGACCTAACAGCCGTCTCAAAGGCCCGCACTCGCTTGGCACCACGCCTCTGCCGACCTGCCAGAAACCAAAACAGGTGTCCCTCAGCTACACCCCGAACGCCCCCTGAGGTCCTGGCCCCTCCACGCACAGGGGTCCCTCTCCGGACCCCTCAACTCCTGGCAACAGCACTCCCTCAGCCCCTCCAGCTAGCAGCGAGGCCGTCTCCAGCCTCCTCCAGCCGGGCCTCGACCACCCCCAGGCTCCCAGCCGGGCCCGGACGCCCCCTCCCCCTTACCTGCGGGGGTTCAGCCCCGGCTGACAGGGGGCATCACTCTCCCCTCCCGCTTCCGGCTCGGCTCCACCCCGGCTAACACACCCGCCCCAACACTGGGAGGTTCTCCAGTTCCAGCGCTTCATTGGCCCCTGCCCTGCGTCCATTCATCCAAATGGCTGTCGATCAAAGCGAAGTCCCGCCCCCCCTGAAGTCCCGCCCCGTGAAGACGGAAAACCAGAAGGATCCAGCCAATGAAAAGTAGGAGGAAGCGGGCCATCTTGGGTCCTGCGAGCCGTGTCAATGCGGAGTGTCGGAAGCCGCTCCGGCCGGGGGCGGGGCCTCCTCCAGCGTGTGGTATTGAAAAGGCTAAGCGGATGTAGCCATCTTGAGTGTGGCGGAAGTACTAGGTTGCCAC